GCAGATGGTTTTGGAGAGAATGGCAGGGAGGCTACTGGTGATGAATGTGATATGCCACCAAATGCTACCATTCATATAAATTTGGAATTGGTTTCGTGGAAAACAGTTTCAGAGATTACGAGTGACAAAAAGGTTTTGAAAAAGATACTCAAGGAAGGAGAGGGGTATGAAAAACCTAATGATGGCGCCATTGTGCAAGGTAAACTCTTATGTTAAAAGATAATCACAAATTCCTAAGAATCATTGCATTTTGAGTTTATGTATTGTGTAAGTTCATCACTTCATTGTTTCTTGCTATTGGTTAGTGAATTTGATCGGGAAGCTGCAAGATGGAACTGTTTTTGTGATAAAGGGATACGATGAGGAGCCTCCTTTTGAATTTAAAGTAGATGAAGGTAATATTTTCATTTCGATGAGACTATAGTTAGCTAAGATCTTTAAAGATCATATGGTCTTCTTCTTCTTCAGATTGTTCTTCCACTTAATTATTGGAAAAGACAGCCCTTATTTAATTATGAACTTATTCTACAGAACAAGTTATTGAGGGTCTGATAAAGCTGTGAAGACTATGAAGAAAGGGGAAATTGCACTTTCAACTGTTCAGCCAGACTATGCTATCCATCTGAATCTCTTCAAGAGCTGGCTGCTGTTCCTAGAAATTCCACTGTATATTATGAAGTTGAGATGAAGAACATATAGCTGACAGTGGCGAGGGAAGGAAGAAAAGGCTTTGCTGTGAAATAATTTAGACGGGGAGACCCATAACACGGGTCTCCGAGCATCACAGAGACGTTCTCCGCACTGCACGGAGAAGCGATTTCCGCACATCGCTGACACTTGTGCATTGAGAAAAAAAATTCCTTCTCTGCACGGAGATTGGTATGTCCATTCAAGCTTCTGTGTTCAAAACGTATATTCTCATTTTACAGTGCGTTCTCGCCCTATTTTTCAATGTTTTGTTCTTCGTTTAGCTCGATCTAACTGAGAAACTTCAGTTCTAGCTAGATTCTTACTTCTTTGTAGATTTGTTTGTTACTTCTTTTAGTTTTACCTAAGGTTTTTTTCCCTTCTCCTCGTCTGAGATGTAAAAATGTTGGGTTACGCTTTATTTAATTCGATCTACTTCAAAAGCTACAGATCTTGCTCGATGTGTTTTTTCCCCCTGATTTCTGCCGTCTACGACTATATTCCAGTTCTGGCTATCATTTCTACCATAGTTTCTAGCATATTTCCAGCTGGTTTTTGCTTAGTCTAACTTGATCTAGCCGAAAAACATAAGTTTTTTAGTTCTCGCTGTATGTTAAATTATGACATTGTTGAATTATGTGAATTTAGCTATTGAATGATTGCTGCTTGAAAAGAGTNATTTAGCTATTGAATGGTTGCTGCTTGAAAAGAGTATAAATGAGCTTTCAGGACCTAAAAGGTATAAAGTGGCTTATCAATGCTCTGAGCTCAAAAGAAGTGAAGCTTATTTGTGAATGTATAGAATTAAAACCAGTGTCCTAATTAAGTCAACTGTGTTGAAATTTGCAATTTTACGTGGTTGGTTCTGAATCACTCAGTAATTCTTACCTTTTTGAGGTTTCGGTTTGCAACTTTATTCTGCCATCAAAATAGTGAGCTAATAATTAAGAAAAGTTGGAAAGAATGCAGAATGAGACGGGCTCCTCTGCTACTAGAATGCTTGTGCATTTTCAATTTCATGTAAACCAATTGTTAGTATTTATTCTATTGGCTGTGTTGTGATCCAATAGCAACTGCTCCCTTGAATATTTCCATTCTAAAATTATGTTTAGGTGGGCTATTTACATCAAAGAAATTTAAGTTTAGGCTTGTTAAATAAGGCATATTTCTCTAATATGATTTTCCTGACTAGGATGCTATGGAGAAAGCAATAAAAAAATAAAGTAGCAAAGGCAGTTGTTCCTGCAATAGATGTTATGTTGCAGGCCTCTAGGTTCGTAACTAATTGCGTTTACTCTTTATGATTTATTGTTACTTTGTTATCCTGCATAATAATGAGTATGGGTGAACAATAATGATTCAGTGAATTTGGGTGAAAGATAGTGCCACCAAAAAGAATATTGAAGATGCTTCCTGAACTTTTTGATCATCAAGATCAGAATGTTCGTGCTTCTTCCAAAAGACTAACACTAGGAACTTTTTTTGGTTTAGATATTTGAAAATTTCTTTTTTTCCATAGCATACTTATTTTGTGTTTGTGATCTGTGGGAAAAGTCTCTTAACATTTTCTGATGTTTATTAAATGGATGCTTGATTTATTGCATCTG